CTAAACATTTAAGGAGTAAACATTTTTAATAATCACGTTAAAAGTTACAAGTCTTGTCTTTGGTGCCTGTTTATTTTCCAAATTATTATTTTTTTTCATGCAGAAATATAACGAATCACCTTTTTTGTCCTTTTTTTCTTTTTTATGGACAAGTCAGGTTTTTTTTTTTTTAAAGATATTTAGGGTTCCTTGAAAGTACATCATAAAAAAAAAATTGGTTCTGAAATATAGCCCGTATTTTAAGCATAGTTTCTGTAAGGGCTTCAAACCTCCACTTGGTGTCGCTGCTGCAAATAAACTTCTCCTCGACGCGTGGTGATGACGAAACCGGAAGTTATTGGCGCATCGTTTTAACTCGCTCAGAAATGTCTTCGATCGACGTGAACGATTTTATTCAACAAAACAGAGCTTTAGCCGAGCAGGTGGAGACGTTCCGGGGTTACTGGGAGAGCGAGGAACACTGGAAGGCCAGAAGAGAGTTTCTCCTCCGCAACATAAACGACTATGAGCTGGAGCAGCTGGACCACCTGGTGTCTCTGTCCATGGTGTGGGCCAACAACGTCTTCATGGGCTGTCAGTACGTAAACACACGTTACTGATGGGGTTCATCAGAGGGTTTTAATCCAAAGCTTCTAAAGTTTATGATTTAATGGACAGAACAAAAAAAGAACCCTGGTAGAGTAAAAACAAATAGTTTCAATCATTAACACCCATTCCACCCTAAATCGTATGATTGAGTTTTATTTGGCATCAGTCCTCTTTAAACATTGTTTACACACGGCCGTGATGTCAGAACTAGAATTAGATCAATACGACCCAAGTTCTCACTAGGATGTGTTTAAATTCAGAGTATTAATGAGCTATTATTTTAATAGTTTCATATTTTGTGACTTTTTTAAAATACAATATAGTCGTTCTAATTCATTAAAAAATATGTAAAGCTGTTTTGTTAATCTGTTTATGGAATAAAAATATAAAGGTAGTTTATGTGGAAAAAAACCCCACTTCAAAATAAATAGGGTTTGATTTTGTAATAAATAAAAAAAAAGATAAAGTAACCAGATAAGTTGAAAAGTACCATCATTTGTACAAAGATGTCCACATTTTTGGATTAAATAACATTTTGCTATTATTCAAGTGTAAAGTTGCTTTAATTTCCATGGATCTTAAGATACAAAACTACAGTGTTATGCAACCCAAAGTGGAATCCCAACCCCAACTTTGGGATCCAGTGCAATAAGCAAAGCCTTTTTCATCCACTATCTTTACCCGCTTACTTTTCGGGTCACAGGGGTCATTGGTGCCCATGTCCAGCCATCACTGTGCGAGAGGCGGTACAGGTCTCCAGTCCATCACAGGGACAGAGACAAACAACCATTCACTCTCTCACTCACACCTAGGGACAATTTACAGTTACCAATCAGCCCAAAGTGCATGTTTTTGGTCTGTGGGAGGAAACAAGGAGTACACGGAGAACATCCACGCATGCACAGAGAGAACATGCAAACCACCCACAATGGCCCCCGACCAGAATTTGTTCTGGTGACCTTCTCACTGAGAGGCAACATTTTTACCAACTGATCCACTATGCAACCTGCAAAAATATTTTTAAACATCAAATTTGCAAAAGTCTCCAACTAGTTTATTCATTTCCTACATGATTGATTTGTAAGGGGGCAGATCTATACAAGATTTTCTTCTTCCTGTTCCCTTAACTCGTGTAAATAAAGTGTTGTCAGAGAAGGTTTGTAAACTGATGATCAATCGAGTGAATAAATTGATATTAAACTCGTCTCTGCTGGCTCTAGGTACAGCTCTGAGCTCCTGGAAAAAGTGAAGGAAATGGCCGAGGGCATTGTAGTGAAGGACGCGCCAATTTTTAAGACGAGAGAAGAAATTATGAAGAAGCAGCAGGTACGTCTTTGGAGACACAGTGAGACAATGACCTGACAGAGAAAACGTTGTCATTAACAAGTTGCTCTGTTCAATCACAGGGTCGATGACCAGATGAGACCGTTCGGATGGGACTTGGAACGTTCGAGTCATCTCAGACCACAGTTTTTTTTATGTTATGGATTTTTTAAAGTGGAAACATTTTCATACCTTTCTTTGAATATGTTCATTTTAAAACAGATTTTAAAGTGTAGTCATTGATTTTAGGCCAGGTTTTTAAATATATCGATGATGAATCATAAGACCTAGTCTTTTTTTGTTCAGTTGAAACGAATAAATGTTTTTTTTTTTAAAGATTTGTCGATGCTTTTAGTGAAGCTTGAATGCAAAATTGTAAAACTAAAAAAAAAAAAAAAAACGCCATGAGCAAAACACTTGTCAAAGTCTGAAAAATGTGTTTATTTATGTTTATACAGCATATTATTTTAAGTATACATTTGATTCTCAAAATTTGATAACATCCCTTCTGGTTACTAGATGAAAGAAGTCACAAGCCACAATATGAGCTTTAGGAAAACATTTTGCCTCATGATGACTGATTATTAAGCAGGAGTTGGGTAGAGTTAGGTCATGAAGTTATTCTCAAGTGGAACTTTATTGAACATCACAAATAAAATAAGAAAACGCTGGCCAAGATGCAATTATGCCTTCAGGAAAACACAATCTTGATGCAAAGTGAGTGATGTTCCAGCTTCCTTTTCCAGTCACTGTTTAGCTCATTTGCTAGTTTATAAAATGTCAGCCAAGTTTAAAGAAAACCAAAGCATGGACACGTTCAGGTGGAAACGTCACAGGCCTCAGAATAGTGTGGTGCGGGAAGTTAGAAAAGCATGCAAGTGCAAGAATGAACAGCTCTGCTAATTTCCAAATCCACCTTTTAACCTGCTTTCTCAGTTTAATAAATATAGATTCAGCAATTGTTTAAAAAAAAAAAGGGGGGGGGGGGGGGCAAATCATGGATTAACATAGTTCCTAAACTTGTCAAGCTCTCTCCTTGAACCATCATGAAAATTATTCCACACGAGCCTGTGCTATATTTGATACCATTTTAAAATGAAACGACAAAACATGGGGATCCCCAGTTCAATCCTTCACTTCCTTATAACCATTTCTAACATTATCTCCTAATAAAAGCTCAACCATGGCATGCATGATTCATCCATGCTGCTGCCGTCAGACGAACGAGTCCAAACCTACAGCGTCTTAAAATAAACAGATCTGCTGGAACAGACCAGGGATTGTTCCTCATCAGCTTTATATCTGGTTGACTGCAAGAATAATGCTTTGAGCTCGGAAAGGCTTTTCCACACCTTTTTAAAATGTAACAAATGGGTTTTAAACCTTTCCAAACCAACCAAATTGTGCACACACCAGGAAATTAAAAAACAGAAACTGAAAGTCTGTAAAACTCAAGCATTAACAATTCAGTCAAACAAAGATATATTACAAATTTTGTTAGAAATAACTTATCTCACACCATGCAATAAAAAAGTCAATTAAAAAGAACACAAAAAAAAAAGCTTGAATACCCCCCAAATTTCCTAAAATGCATTGGCAAGCAAGTTAATGTCCATTCATGTTTGGTTTTTCTTTTAACTTTTTAGGGTGGCACTTGAGTTTTGATATAGTTGCTGTTTTCATCTTTACGAGGTAAAAACAAAGCTTGAATAGAAGAGGGGTGATGAAGAGAATAGTAAGAGATGGAGGGAGAGAAGCTCAGCTGTCCACCCAGCTCTGCTCCACAATGGCCGTCACTCTTTTTTCATACTCCCTCTTGTTTTCCTGATAGAGCTGTGCAGCCTGACTGTTCGCTGGGCTGTTGGGGTTCGGCTCGTCCAGCAACGACTGCAAAAAGAAACAAAACAAGGATTTCATTCGACTGACTGACAGCTAGTAGACGGGGTAGATGTCCAGAGGATGGATTCTTGATACGTCCGTGCAAGCACAAATTTTCTAGAATAAAATCAGCATAAATATCCAGTTTACGTGGCATCAGCTTGTGTTTAATGTGATTTCAACTAAAGGTAGAATCTCAATGGGCTTTAACTGCTGCCTAATGAAACTGGGAAATTGTTACAGTCAAACAGAATTCTGAGTGTGAGCAGCGAGCTGTGTGGCCATGTTACACACAGCCAGTTGTTAAATTCACAGCACATTATTTTGTTGTCTACCTCTAGCCCCCATATTTATGATTAAATCTGCTGGAGTACACTGAAGAATGAAACTGAACCAGTTTTCTAAATACTGTATTTTTCGCAGTATAAGTCGCAACTAGGCCTGTTGCAATAAACAATCGCATGATAAATTAAACTTATCGACCTCGTTTTCATTTATCGGCTTTATCGTTTCTTCATGTCTCTCTTTCTATTGAAGACACTGGATGGCAAAAAGCTCAGCTCCGGTGCTCTTCGCTGACCCCTCCATTTCTCATTCTCTTTAAAATCTTTTTTATCCATCTAAAATCACGTTTTTGGATTGTTAAAAGCAGCTGAGCTGAGAAGCTAAGCTACGAGCTAAGCTAACAGGCCAACCTCGGTGAAAAAGCCTCCGCCTTGTACAAGCTCCAAAATTCACAGTTGAAACCTGTGCCTTTGTCTAAAAAGTTGCTTTTCTCTGCAAAAAGAAGCTGTGAAGTTGTTTACTGTTTTTTTTTTTTATTAAAAGCTTTGTGTGAAAAATGCTATGCTAAATAGCTCAAACCACACTGAGCATCTGCCATTTTGAGAACCAAAAAAAAAAAGGCAAGAGAGACAGCCCATGTCACGTCAAGGGGCCTCCCTCCCATTTTTCTTAAAGAGACACGCTGCTAGCTCCCTCACTATCCATCCTTCAGTTCAGTCTTATACTGCCATCCGGTGGTCAAAAAAAAAAGGTACTACACACAAAACAAATTAACCAACATTTCTTCTTAAATTTGACAATAATTATAAATTGTCAAATTTCAAAACAATATCGTTTATCGCAATAATTTCTGAGACAATCGTCAAGCAAAATTTGTTATCGTGACAGGCCTAGTCGCAACTTTTTGCATAAATTTCAAGTCCTGCAACTTATACACTGAAGCGACCAATACGTTTTTTCCCCATATTTATAACTCAATTTTTGTCGTTGAAATGTTCATTCATAGACTTGAACCAATAAACATTACCGGTTGCAGCTGCTAGAAGGCCCTCTAGGCTTTCATGTTGTTCCTCTACCCCACTACCCTCTCCAGCACACACACACAAAAACTTAACACAAGTAAAATGCCCCCAAACAGAAAATCCTATTTTGCAGTTTACAAACTGCAGGCAATAAAAATATGCAGACTGAAACGGTAATCTAGCAGCAGAACGAAAATTTGTCAATGGGTTGGGTCCGCGCAGTCTGCCAGGGTGATTAAACCTGGCAGAAGGAACAGCCACACGGCGGCAGAGGATCTGCAACCCCGGGAAGCAGCTAGGTGCAGGCGGACAAATGCTCCAGAGCTCGTGACCGGAGCCTTATCACTCTGGCGGTGGAGCGGGGAGGAACACCAGCACCCAGACGAAATTAATCTGTTTTTACCATTAAAGTGCATTTATTATTATTGTAGCAGCACGACAGCTCAGTGTTTAGCACTGTTGCCTCACAGCAAGAAGGTCCTGGGTTCAATACCCGGTTGAACCTGGGGTCTTTCTGTGTGGAGTTTGCATGTTCTTCTCTTGCTTGCGTGGGTTTTCTCCGGGTACTCCGGTTTCCTCCCACAGACCAAAAACATGCATGTTAGTCTGCCTTAGATCTGTGATCTCAGTGAGATTTGCCTGGTTAAATAAAAGGTTAATTAAATAAATACAAACCGGATTCCAAAAAAGTTGGAATATAATCTAATATTTTATTCAGAATAGAACACAAATCACAGATCAAAAGTTTAATCTGAGAGAATGGATCATTTAAAGGGAAAAATCTGTTTCCAAATTTCATGGCGTCAACAAATCCCAAAAAAGTTGGGACAAGTCTATTTTTACCACTGTGTGGCATCCCCCCTTCTTCTTACAACACTCAACAGACGTCTGGGGACAGAGACCAGTTTCTCAAGTTTAGAAATAGGAATGATCTCCCATTCATGTCTAATACAGGTCGCCAACTGTTCAATCGTCTGGGGCCTTCTTTGTCGCACCTTCCTCTTTATGATGCGCCAAATGTTCTCTATAGGTGAAAGATCTGGACTGCAGGCTGGCCATTTCAGTACCCGAACCCTTCTCCTACGTAGCCATGATGTTGTGATTGCTGCAGAATGTGGTCTGGCATCATCGTGTTGAAAAATGCAGGGTCTTCCCTGAAAGAGATGACATCTAGATGGGAGCATATGTTGTTCTAGAACCTGAACACAGTTCTCTGCATTAATGGTGCCTTTCCAGACATGCAAGCTGCCCATGCCACAAGTGCTCATGCAACCCCATACCATCAGTGATGCAGGCTTCTGAACGGAGCGTTGATAACAACTTGGGCCATCCTTGTCCTCTCTGGTCCGGATGACATGGCGTCCCAGTGTTC